CAGTTCATAATCAAGTTATGATTAATGAAATATTAAATCAAGATGGCACATGATGTGAAAATAATATTACGTTATTTTATTTCATATAATAGCATTGTAAATTATTTTAATTCTATTAATATTGAAATCTCTTTCCCAATCTCAATCTTCCAAGATAAACGTTCAATTCTCGTTTCTAATTTAATTCAAGCTATTGTTAAATTTGATTTTTTAATTTACGTTTTTATACAGCATGCTGTACAAAAGTGTTCATTTTGTTCAGCGCAAATTTTGTTCATTTATCGATATCTATATGTACATTTGACGTATTTCAAAAATATTTCTCTTACTGAAACAGAATTGGACAAAATGCGAGAGATTGGAGACACGCGAAATTTAAAAAAGTATTGGCCTGACTTTGGGGAAGGCCCAGGTCCGACTAGGACTTGCGCCATTATGAATGAATGAATGGAATTGGCACTGAAAGTTTCTTCTATTACGATTTATCGAATCACGTCGCTGATTAACAGCGTACTATGTTCTCGTTGACATTAAATTTCATTTCCAACGTATAAGCCGGCGCGATTACGACGTTCATATGACGTCAGGAGCAAACGTTGTCAGAACACGAGATGCTGGGGGTTGGACTTGCTGTTCGATCGACTCGATGTCAAACTTTATTGTTATTAATTACCGCGTGGGAGATTGTCCATTAACGGCGAATGTATATGTGTTAGGTACGCGATGCACCGTTGTAATTCACTGCACCGATAGATACATCACGTCGGCAACACGGCGCAACTATATAAGAACAGTCTAAAGATTACGTATGCGAATCTTCGTCGATATATAATGTATAAGATATGAGATACGGATTGCGAGAAGAAACATTTTGAATCTCAATTTTCACGTTACTTTTTATCTCGAAAAAATAATATACAAACATTATCCGATATGAGATGAGATTCTCAATTCGTCGATAATAGTTTAATCTGAATTCTATTTTCGTTTCATCAAACTTTATGACGGATTCTTTAACTTCTATTCGATCCTTTTATTGCAACACAATTGATGAAAGATCAACATTCGTTTTAAATTTGAAACGTGTGAAACGTAAAACCCGCGTTTACGATTTTTTTTGTCCGGTGCGATACAAAATGAAAGATCAATATTTAATTACGCTCTCGTTCCTGTTTCCAGGTCCGATTTAGTAGGAACTTTGTTCTCGCGGGGTTTCTAATTACTTCGCACCTCTGGCGAGAAGAACGCTTTTTTTATCTCCATTTCTCTTTGTTTTTCTTCTCTTTTTTGCTAGCCATTATTTAATGTGTCTAACTAAAGTAATAGATAGCATGAAAAGACAGCATGAAATACTTTTATCTATTTAAACATATATACATAAAATAAAACAATATATGCATTTATGTTTACATTAAATGCATTATATAGACCAAGTTCAATGATTTTGATAACAAATTACTTATAAGATTTTATACAGCTCGTATATATTGTATATTATGTTTAAAACTTATCTACAATAAACATTTTAAAAACTGAAACCGCTATGTAAAATACGTTTTAAAATTTCCTAAAGAGAAATTCAAATTATAAAGATAAATCGCAGTAATCTAAAAATAATTAAGTAATTCTACTGGTACTGTTATGGTTATTGTAAGGCAAAGTTTTTTTTGCTTCACCCCTTTGCATATGTGTAAGCATAAAATGCAAATAAAGTTCATTCATTCATTCAATCTAAAAATAATAAAAAAAAAAAAAACATTTGAAAGTTTTAAGCTGTTACATTTTATAAAAGTTTATCGAATCAGGATTTGATTAAAAAACATTATACACGTAAATTGCAAAACTTGTTCGTATAACGATCTTCTTATCATCTTTTTGCCTATAAAATCGGGACACTTGTCACAAGTATTGTCGAGACTCTTGAAGAAATTTAGAGGGTGGCAGTTGAAGTATATAATCCTGCTGGCGATAAAAACTTGCCTGGAATTTGGTCGTATCGAAATGCGATCTCGGCGATTGATCTTCGAGAGGTTTCGCCTGGCAGGAAGAAGTTTAATTATCTTTGGGATTTAATGAGATCGTGGGGAAAAGATAACTTTAAACCATGACGCTCTATAGATATATGTGTGTCTCTTTCTTTCTCTGCGACAGATGCCCATCCTTCTTAAATTCTACGAGATTTTATTTCTTAGGACCGGGATTGTTTGACAAAACTCTTGCAAGGTGAATAAGAAAAAGATTTCCCGCTTTCGGGCTGCACTCTCAAAAAAGATTTCTAGATACAATACTATTAGGATTGAAATAGGGCCAATCATATTTAGAATTGAAAGAAGAATATTTTAATCTTAAATAGAGGAATTTTTAAATCTAGAATAATTCTGAGAAAATTAGAGGGATAGCATCAAGATTATTTTATTCTAGATTTAAGAATTCCTCTATTTAAGATTAAAATATTCTTTTTTCTAAAAGTCTAATTTAAGAATTCCTTTATTTAAGATTAAAATATTCTTCTTTCAATACTAAATATGATTGGCCCTATTTCGATCCTAATAATATTGTATCTAGAAATCTTTTTTGAGAGTGTGGAACTTTTTTCCCTTCGTTTTAATAAATTGAGTAATTGTTTTATCGTCAAATCGGCAACTTATCCATTTTTTATCGTAAACTCTTGTCGCAAAAAGAGAAGTGCTGCTAAATATGGGTTTGAACTCGTGACGACAAATATGTTGTACTCAGGTGCAAATCTAGATCGAGCTGGTTATATCGCATATGCGAGAGAAGGTTGAGTTTTTTTTGCGAGGTTCATATCGCGATTCTGTTTTCGACAATTATTACAGGAAATTGCTTTCATAAATCACGTCTTTGTTCTGTATATGATATTATCTATACTTGCACGCAAAATGACGTGAGCGGTTTAAACCCACGATTTTAATAATAAGTACTTTCCTTTTTTATGAAAATAACGATGTAAGATAAATCAAATTTTGTATTAACTATTTACACTACTATAATAGACGCAGTTCTCGTTTTATATAGTATAATAGGCGTTTTCTCGTTGTTACGCAGATTAATAATTGATACCGAACTGTAACGTATTCGTAATAGTAACGGCAGTAATCAAATGTTCGGATAAGCACGGAATATTGACAAAATCACTTTTGAGCACATGACAATTGTCATTTTGAAATGAAGAAACTTGATTACCACATGGTCGAGATATAACAGTAGAAATAGACGGGGCATAATCGCGGAAATTATGTATGATTCTAGCATTACGCCTGTCTATTCCAGAGCTCGACAGTAGCGAATTGGTCGTCATTTCGAATGGATCTCGCCGAGAGAGTTTGTTCGTTCCGATTTTACAAGCGACGGGATGTAAGCGGATTAAACAAAGCATTACTGAATTCGCGGAACACACGAAGGCGCCGTATCGCGGATTTTCGTTCTAGCTCGAGTAACAAGCACGTCACACTTGTCTCGACCGTTCACGTTTTTCGTTTTCGCGTTTTCGCGGTGTAGGGTCGCACGGCTTTCTTGATTCCGATTCAATATTCATCCGCCGATAAAAGGAAAGCAGGATGAACGCGAGCAATGTCTTTTTCCGTTTTCCGAGGGGAAATGCGGTGACGAGAAATGCGAGGCCATTCCGTGACATCTGCACGTTCCTTATTAGACGTTGTTGCTGAGCGCAAGAGAGAAGCCCATCGACGATAAATGATCGTCGTCAGGGAATCTTTATGAAAATGTAATGATGGTAAACAGGAGCGAGAGAGCGTCTTTTCGTTGCTCCGCGATCGATCAATCATCCGGCGTATATACCTATGTCTATCTATGCCGACCCTTTGTGCGCGATGACACTCGAGGGGCAGATAGAGCGTCCAAAGGACACTTCCCGCCTTTTTGCACGGTCTGACGTTTGAATGGCATTTGGGTATCGTGGTGTTTAACTTATTTATTGTCCAAGAACGTTTTGCCTTGAATTTTGCATTGCTTGGTCGGTGGATATGATATATTAATATATATAATTGAAGCACTTATAGACATAGAATACGTTATTAGTATATATTATGTTCAGTAATTATGTTCACATAATAATAAAACTGACTACAAATTAGCGCATAATATGCCGGGATGTGCAGTTTATTAAGGAAAATTGATCAATTTGAATGTTAGTACGAATTTACGCAAGTGAGCAGAACGATTCTTCACTTGGCTCTCTGTCAGTACTTCAACTTTAAATTTAATTAAAATGGATGCATCGAGGGATGTCGATATTTACACGTATTTATCGTTTACAATATCCGATGGGTAACGATAAACATCTCGTGGGAAAATATTTCCGTACTATATTCCATGTAGTATTTTCTCGGGCATTCACGTTACGTTATATTGTTTAATAGCGTTACCTTGCATGAGCTGATAAAATTTACAAAGAGTTAGAGGCGATATGGGCAGAGTTATTGTATTTTAAAAACGGCTCACGATGATTCTGAACGAAACAGCAAAGTTAATACTGTAATCTCCGCTATACGAATATCCGACCGATTAAAGTATCAATAACAGGTATCAATAACATTATTCAAAGTAAGGTTCAATTTTCTTTATAAAAATGATAAAAATGGAATTGTAAATTTTTATGTAAGTAACTAATTTAACAATAAGATATAAAAATTACTGGATATTAATTTAAATCTCTTGTTAGATATTTTTTATTAAATAAATTGACGTCAAGTTCTTATTATAAATATGACTATTGACACTTGAAATAAATAGGATGCGTGACTCCAAAATATTTAGCGTTCCAAAAATAAATTAGATAAAATATACAACTAATACAAGTAACTAACAACATTTCTGTAAAATTTCTCCGAAATGGAAAGAAAATTAAGGATAGACACGATAGGCAACTTTCAGGATTAGTTTAGATTTATACGTGAAAGATGCTCTTGTTATATAATCTCCAGGAAATGTTACGTTGGATGTAATACACATTAACGTACCTTGTCGCCTTGTTGCAATCCAGCTTTCTCGGCGGGGCCACCCGGCACGGTCCACACGATACACGCGAAGGTGCGCCCGTCCGACCCCGTCTTGCCGCCTACCACCCTCATGCCAAATCCACGCGCTGCAACAAAGAAACGTTGGTTAAGAACGAAATATGCACATCGGTGAAAAGCAGTTACAGCGCCGCAATTTCCGCGGCTATCTCTCATCTCCGTGGGTAGGATTTGCGTCATCGGGCCGAGAACATACCGGGCTCGTACACGTGTCGCTACGCCAGTGCCGTTTCGAAGAGAAATGCAGTTTACGTTTCGCAGCGGCGTAACTCGCTCGCAGCTTTCCCCCTTTCCCCACAGTAGAATTTATGTATGTACTCGCGAGTGCGGCCGAAGCTGCAACATCGAGTCTAGGAAAATAATTAACGCCCACGCTCGTTGTAAACGCGAGCGGCAATTGCGTCGATTGTTGGGATAACTCAGTCACGTTGTTAGCGAATCTAATGCGCATGCGAGTGCGTAATTTAGCTTTGCGAATTGTTATCCGATCGTTGAAATTTCTATTTTTACAATCAAAAATAATTTAGAGAACAATATCAGTTTTAATAAAATAATGATGGTTGGTAACATGGTAACCTTTTATTTTAGTCTCTGCAATATCACAGACGAAGGCGGATTCAGAATTTCTTTTTATGACGTTTTTATATCAATTATAAACTATTTTAAATATCGTATAAAGTTAAATGAATTATTTTCTTACATCATCTTTCAAGAGTAAGAGAAAGATTTTAGTAAAGTAAATCTAAAATCTACAATCTTTAGTTATACGCAAATCCCTCTCTAATTCATGCTGACAGAGCTATTTCAATGCCATGTTTCGGTAAATTCAGGAATTAAGCGCATTACAACTGAAATACAATCCGACATGACCAAGCCAATTTCGAGCTATTGGCTCCAAGGATTTCGTAACATCTGTATAAACCCTCGCATCACGATTAACCACGCGGACTCGACAGACAACCTTCTATTACCGGTAACCGTAAATTCTGCGATCTCTAAGTGGATGAGAACTTGTGCGACGTGTCCGCAAAAACTTTGAAAATTACTTGGAGGGAAAACGGGCAAAAATAAATCTCGTTTTACTTTTATTTGATCTTGTACATCATATGGATTTAGATACATATATCTGTATCGGACTGGCTTAACACAATCAAAGTAATTTATGGAATTGATTATACGAATTGACCTTTTCTGGAAAGGGTACCAATTTGTTAGGAAAGCAGGAAGATTAACAGATACCCCAAAAGTCAAAGGGGCATAATTTTAACTCTAATTGCGATATCCATACAAATACCATATAAGCATAAATTTGAAATTTATTTCAAGTATGTTTGCGAGTTAGTTTGTCATATCCGGCGGAAATCGAGTTTGTTGGAATTGACACACAAATTAATGTAGTCGCGGAATTGTAGAAAATATCGCACAGTCGTAACTGTTCTCAGCCGAATGATGGATCGATCGCGTTTATGCCGAGAAAATATAAGACAGATTGTAAGTTTCGCGCTATTTGTGCAAATAATGCAATATAATCCTCTATGATATTTTAATAAGGGAAAGTTATATAACAATAGTAGGCAGGGGGAAGGGCGCAGGAAGGAGGAAGCGATAAAAACGGAGAGATTTACCGATATAATAGCATATAACATTCTTAATTAATTCTGGCTGCATAGCGATGATAAAAAATTGCCAAGTTGGTTTTTCGCATTTTTATACGTGACATTGCAACAGCATTTCGCTTATTTCCCACGTTTACAGCGTTTGCTATTTAAGACTTTTTTATATGAATTTTATAGACTGCAGTTGGAATGTACGAAAACATATTTATTTTGTTAATGGATTAATAATAGGTAAAATGTAATAGGTAATGTGTTTAAGTATTGCTCTAATTTGAAAATATTATTTACATGATATATCTATTACCTTTTCTTATTATGAATAATTTAAAATTTAGAGATTTAGATATGAAAATGATTTAATTAATATTAAAATGATTTTGAAAGACGTGTTTAATGCACAACATTTTTAAAAAACGTGATCAGGATTCCATCTTTATCCTTTATATATACTTGCATCACACTACGAAATTTCGTGTTGTTTTTTTCTACATTGCAGTCGAGTATTACACACAACTGCCTTCTTCTATAAAATCTACTCTATCTTCTTTTCGCACCCGGAGACTTGTTTCATCTTATCACTAGCTTTCTCACTAAACTCAATAAACTAGCATCCATGTATTTTTATTCGTTTCGGCCTGATCTCGTGTGCGTACTTTAATTAAATGATGTCATGGGTGATTTGTGTGTTGTGTGTCGTGAATGCGTGCTGCGTGCTGTGCTTGAACGTGTGTTATTGCTTTGTGCGTTTACTTAGGGCGTCTATAATGCGGTAGATATGCTTTATAACAGCAATATTCTTGGTGGCTTACATGTACTTTTCTGATTCTTATATTTTATCTATCTTGATCTTGTAGTTTCAGAAATGTTATACATTGCAATAAAAATATAATTGTTATTATATCAATATAGGATAAACTAGGGTAAGATGGCCATACAGGAAAGATGGCCAACTTATGTTCTTTCAATCTAGCTCCCCATGAAACATCAAATGAATATGGGTTGGTGGCCATCTTTCCGGTATGGCCATATCTTACCCGAGTTTACCCTATGTAAATAATGAGAGTAACAGATATATTAGTGTTCAATTGGAAATCAATCTTCAAAATTATTTAATATTTATTATCTACTATCAAATGAGAGTAACAGATAGATTAGTATTCAATTGGAAATCAATCTTCAAAACTATTTACCTAATATTTATTATCTACTATCAACAGTTTTAAATGAAATTAAGCTGTTAATATTAAAAATGTCTAAAATTTGTTTCAAGTACTTTAAACATTTTACTTTTGATGTAACGAGGGGAAGGATCAATGTATAAATGGCCCAATACACGTTTGAATTTTCGACATGCATTTTTCATTTTACTATTTCACCGATTGCGGGATATTTTCTTTTTCTCTCGATCTGCACCCTCGTCTTCGGCATGTGATATCAAGATCATGTCACCGGACGACATGGGTGTTGTATAAAGATTTTCGCTGGAGATGCGATGACAGTGTGGATTGAAAGGGTATAGGAAAAGAGTCGAGATGTCGGAGGCATAGTTTGATATACGGCTGACAAATACACGAGCGTTGTATCGAACGAGCCCTTACGCCCATTTCTCGTGCAATGCGCATAGTGCCCAGCCAACATTTTCGCTTTCTACGCGCCTAAGCTTCCGTGGTTGACCGTGCGCCATTCTTGCGCATTGCCGGCAATGGTATTGTCCCTATGTGTATTGGCATGAGAAATTCGAAACTCGCGCGCGAGGAGAACCACTTAATTAAGTATTATCGTACTAGCCGCGCGGGTAATTTCGTTCTGATGTGTACGAATTAATCCTGTTGCTGCCGCGCGTAATTCTGCCCCCCTTTCGTATACTCGAATCGTGAAGGAACATTCAGCAAGTGCTGTCGATACATTTCAACGATTGTGAATAGAGACGTTTTAACTTTCTGGCGGTAGTAACAATGCTGTAATCAAGAACGAATATAGAAATATATTGAATACAGAAAAATATTGAATATAGAAACTATAGAAATGAAAAATGTTTGCTGGAAATAGTATTTTCGTTACGATAATATAGAAAATCTACCTACAGTATTATAATAATTTATAATATAGTAATATTCATATTTGTTACGTTATAGTAACAAATTAATATAATAATATTCATATATGTTACGTTATAAATCTGTACCTTAGAGATATAACGAATCGTATCGCCAGTTTTGTCAAGATTTGAGTTAATACTTTTTCCGATGTTCCAGAGGCTTAAATCGTATAATGATAATAGTCTTATCCATTATTACTAATTTCTAAAATACAATGTTTAGAAAAAGTCATATTGGAAATTTTCATAGCGCTTTAATTTTGATCAGGTACAGCGTGTTATTGACATGTACTATTAAACGAATCAGTTAAAGTACTTTATTAAAAATTCAACAAATTAAATTGCTACTTTTATTTTATGAAAGTAAAGAATACCTACGTGTACCGAAAAAGAATACCATTTCCCTATTTAAAACTTTAAATTTTCTTTTCTGTAAATTCATAATATAATGGAGATATGATTCTTTACCTCTAAGGTACAGAAATATGATTTGATTTTCCGTTCAAATAAATGCTATTTGAATTTTGAGGAAACTAGTGCTAGTTCACAATGAACTCGTAGAAACAATATCAACGATTCGTCAAACGTACCGTTGAATGAAATCATCGCAGTTGACAAAGAGTCAAAAACTTGACGTATTTGAGATGAATCAAGTTAAAACCTCACCACGTCGATGTCTCGCGGTCGAGTCAGTCAGGATTTTAAATTCGGTAGTCATCGAATATCAATTCTACCAATGAATCGGTTGTCATTCCGAACTATCGTATTGACCGACGTGAAAACCTGGGCGTTTGCACAAACGCGACTTTAACGAGATACGACATAGACGCGACGTCGTACCATTTAATTGATCAACGTCATCGAGTTCTCGAGCGCAGCGGGATTATCTATTAATGCTCTGACGAACTGGTTAAGGAGAATCTCGTTTGCGTCAGGATAGCTCCCAGAGTAATCTGGTTAGAGGTTTCGCTCGCACGCTATGGCAATTATCAATAACCATCAGTTATGATCATTTTGTGATCTGTTGTGATCGATTTTGATCAGTTATGATCCATTCATGAGTGCACAAATTTGATTTACATTGTTTCTTGTAGATACTTATTTGGAAGAATTGTATTTTTTGTTACAAAATTAATTTTAATTTTTCAATTCTTGAATCCATTACTTCTTGAATTTATGAATATACTCGGATCTGTATGTAAGCTTTAGATATGGTAATTTAATTAAATTTAACAAAAAAATTCTAAAACGTATTTCAAGAAAATTTCGCGTTCGCATAAAACAAATATTATCAAACTCGAGACCTATACGTTCACATTCGTTTACGAAGCAAAAAGGAATATAATGAACGCTC